AGTGCCAGACATATGATGGGTGCTTAATTCATTATTATCCTTGGTTTTCTCTTCTCCCTCCCCCCAACTCAAACCTCTTATGGTTAAAATTCAAAACTCTGTATCTGAATATATCAGGATGATACTAAGGCCAAGGCCTGGGTGTGGGAGGAGCGTAGAGGCAGAGAGAGATTGTTTGGTTCCTGTTTTCACCCTTTTACACAACATTCTCTTTCATTCATGGATGTTCCCCCAAATTGGAGTTTAAAAAATTAGGAAAAATTAAAATACAAAGTTAGCCATCTTCAGAAGTGACCCAGGTTACACTTAAAATCCAGTCTGGTTGGAATCTCAGTGTAGGGCATGACTTAATTGTGATTGTAATTAAGAAAATACAGCCTCCTAATAGTATTATATCCTATCAGAAAGAATGTGTCTGTTAGAAGGTGTGCCATTCGTTGGTCAGAAGTGAAAGAATACAAAAGAAAGCCAGAGGCAAACATAAACTGCTTTTCCTGGTACCTGCCCAGGGGGAGAGGAATCCGGGTCTGGTTGGCATTCATATTGGGGATGGACCTTTTAAGCTCTCCTAGCGTGACGACACAAGCCATATATCCGCTTCTCTTACTGCTCTAATGCTCTGCTTGTTTAGCAGGTAATTCTAATCTGGAATAACTGTAATAGCCATCTTTATTAAATGTCCATTATGTAATGTGCCAGTCACTGAGTTAGGTGTTTTACAAGCATCTTAATCTTTACAATACTGCAGTGAAGCAAGCGTCTGCATTTTACAGATGAGGAAATTGAGTCTCAGCAAGGCGATGTGACTTCCCCAAGACTTCAGATCTAATAAGTGAAGTCCTGAGATTGGAATTCAGGTCTCTAACCCCAAAACTCTTCCCTCTGTGCCCTGGTACTTTTCAGGTAGATTTGCTGACTGAGAAACACTGTGCTGAATATGAATAGTAAAAGTAAATGGGCCATTTGATAACTCTTTTTCATTGTAATTAAGTAAATTGGCCTTCTGGGCTTTTTATGTGTATGGCCTCTGAATTTGGTTTTATGTGAATCTTCCTCTAAGTAGACGGGTGTTTTCTTGGTATGCTAAATTAGATTTCTGAGCTTGTAAGATTGAAGGTTTCAGACCCAGAGTTGTAAGGGGGCTGAATGGCTGCTGACTTTCTGCAGGCCTCAACTTATCTGGCCTTGCCATAAATTTTTCATTTAATCTACAGAAAACTATAGTTCCTGTTCCTTTCTCTAAAAGCATTGTTATTTTCAATCAATGTAGCATAATGAAAATAATATATTTCCCAGGTTTATTTTAATCGGTAAAGAACACTTTTTAAAACTATGATAAGGCAGTTTCTAAAATGTATTCTTTCTTATCAGCCAAAAGCTTGATATTTTTACTTAAAAGACTTGTGGTACTGAAAGGGAGCAGTTTGCCACCTCAAAATCTGCTACTTTGGGATGTTGATTATTTTAGGTTGGTTGATTGTAAGAAACGCCAGACAAGGGAGAAGCTGAAAACCTGGTCAAGTACCCTTTGTAAAAGGACATTTACATTTGTAAGGGAAATCTCCATTTGTAAAGGTGTTTCCTTCATTGTACCAGGCCTGCCTTCACTGTCAGTGGAGAAGGCTTGGACTTATATCTGCATAACAATCTAACCCTTGTTGACTGTGTTTTTCCTGGTAACTTCCCTGGACTGACTCTACCCCCATCGCCATCTTTGGCCTTTAGCTGTGAAGGTAGTAGTGAAGGTGGTGGCCTTACCTTTTGGGGGAAGTTACCCAGAGTTCCCGGGTGTCTCCATGTTTATAGGAGGTATGTGTGTGATTAAGGTTTAATTTGTGTGTGTCCTGTTAGTCTGTCTTGTGTTAATTTATTTGTCCAGCCAGGAGAACCTTGAAGGGTAGAGGATAATTTTTCCTCCCTGACACTACGGAAGCTGATTAAATGGAATTGTTTGGTTATTTGAATTAACATTTCTATAGAATAACTGTGAATGTTAAGTTTTTTTCCTTACAGAGATTATTTTTTAATGGGGAGAGTTAGGTGATATGCACGTAAACGAATGAAAAAGATAATTTTGTATAAAAATACTTGATATGAAATTTGATTTATTTTTGGACCCCCTAAGAAAAATTCATTAGTCATGAACCCCGAGAAGGAATTTATCTGCTAAGATGGACTCCCCATGGTCAGCCGGGGGCCCAAATTTTATAAATAATAAGAGTTCAGTGGCCATTTACTGTCAGGGGCTGCTCACGTCCTCTGTACCAGGAAGAACCTCAGACTGAGCTCAGGTTCTGCTACCCCGCCTGCTTGTTTAGTCTGAGTCAACCTCAGGGAGAAACCCTGGTTTTGTCTCTCTACCAACAAACAGATTGAGACCTGCTCTCTACAGTTGGAACTGTCTGATTCGGAACTGTCTGATTCGGAACTGTGCCTCATTTTCATAAGCCCGACCTAATGGAGATCCTGGGCGGACTGCTCCACTGAAAAAGGCGGCCTCCCCTTTAGCTCGTTGGAACAAAACTTAAGTTGCTCCCTGAATCTGTGCCTTCCAGCCTACAGCTCCTTTTTGCTCTTTTTTTATTTTTTATTCTTTATTACAATCGAAAATGAATTTTGATTTACATTTTTTTCGGATTTTTTAATTCCCATCCCGTCTCCCGTCCCCTTTGGTAACCATCAGCTTGTTCTCTATATGGGTCTGTTTCTCTTTTGTTTATTTGTTTTGTTTTTTAAGATTCCACATGTAAGTGAGATCATGTGGTATTTGTCTTTCTCTGACTTCACTTTGCATAATATCCTCTAGGTCCACCCATGTTGTTGCAAATGGTAAAATTTCGTTCTTTTTTTATGTCAGAGTAATATCCCATGTGTGTGTAGACACACCACGTTGTCATTCACCTATTGATGGACATCTAGGTTGCTCCCATATCTTGGCTATTACTAGTAACGGTGCAGTGAACATAGGGGTGTGTGTGTGTGTGTGTGT